GGAAGGGCGTTCTCACCAGGACCCGGCTGGGCTGCCCTGGTCTTGGTCAGGGTTTCTGTGGCAGGACAGGAACGGGGAGGCCTATCGGGAGTGAAGGGAGAGCTAGCACCCCTGTAGCAGCCACCAGCCAACATGCATGGGAATTAGTGGCAGATGCCCCAGGCTCTCCTCCTGGCCTCAGGGGGTGGTTATGGGGCACGTTCCCAGAGGCATCCCAGAGTCCCCGGTGGGACTGTGTCTACAGCAGCGCACTACTCACTGACATGCGCTTGGTTGTCTTCTCTCTCTTCCCTGCTCCCCCACACCCGCTTCGTGAGGTCACTCCCAAACAGTCCCTGCACCCAGGGGCTCTCCTCAGCCCTGCTTTCTGAGCACCCAAGTGAAGACAGGAGAGTCCAAAGGAACTTATCCATGGAAGAGGAAACACTGTTCGCAACAAACACGGGGTCTTCTTCCTTTCCTGTCGGATCGTCCCCTACACGGCAGACGCCATGGGCTATGCGGGACTCTGCAAAGGTCTAGACAGAACGGCATTTCTAGTACAGGTTCGAGAGAAAACACTCAAGACCCGGAATAGAAATCTTTAAACAAATACATCTCTAATTACAGCAAACAGTCTCCTGACCTCCTTAAAATGGGGATCACTTGTAACGAGTTTAAATTCTATGAATAATAAATTAGGAGGTTCTAGTATGTCCCTGGAAATTCCACTCAGTTTTCAACAAATGCAAAATGGACTTGCATCTTTGAGATCCTTCCATGGCTTAAAAAAAAAATCTATGTTGAAACCGTCACATCTGTTTCAACTCTAAGGGGACCTCTCTTAAATTCTTTTCACCCAGAGTCAGATGGAAATTTCTAGATTACAAAACCAGTCAACAGTCACAAGTTTCTTCTCACCACTACTCTCTCAAATGCCTTGTGCGGGTATGGTTCCCATGCCTTTGGTCCTCTGCATAAGGCAGGGACCGTCCACATCAAGGTCCCAGTGGGCACATCTCTCTCAGTGAGAAGGAGGTGGGAGGCTGTGGAGGGGACAGGAGGGCACTGCCCTTTTCTATTCTTTTCCTGAGACAAGAGGGTGGCTCAGGGTAAAATTTAATTACTATCTCGTACTTGGTGAAATACAAAAACAACCTCCAAACAAGATAAGAGCCATCCTCTTGTCTTTATTTATACTGCAAAGCAAACCCATTTTTTCTCATTAGTATAGGTAGTGAGGTCTCATATCAGCGAGCCCGTCAGGGACCCCAAGCATGTTGCGTGCGCAGGCCTCCTAGACCCTCTCCCTGCTCTACCTTCTACGCAGCAGGGTGCCTATCCATGACCTGTGGCATGTGCTACCTATCACTCTTGTGTAGCGTCTGACTGCCCCTAGAATGGGAGCACCATGAGCACAGCGATTTTGCCTGTTTTGCTCCCTGATTTATCTCAGCGATGCCTGATAAACAGTTGGTGTCGTAGTGGGATTGTCCTGAAATCAGACAAAGTCTTGGGTTCAGGTAGTTTATTTGGGAGATGACCCCAGACAGCAGAAATGATAAGACAAGGAAGGAGGCAAAAGCCAACGGAATGGATGTTATCAAGGTCACTGCTGTAGGCAAATGACTTTTGAGAAGCTTCTGGAATGGTCCCATTAAGAGGGTAGGAAACTCGGGTTCCCATCCCCACTGGTGAAGTGTTGTCCTTGTGGGGTGAAGACCCTTGTACTGCCAGGATACACCTCTGCTGGGCCTGGGCTTTGAGGCACAGACGTGCAGAGGGGCTCTTGGGAGGCCGCGCTGGGGATGCTGTCTGAGCGCTCAAAACCACCAGCCATCTGCAGCTGTGGTGGAAAGGACCAAAAGCGTCTGCCTCTGGAGGCAAATACGTTTTAGTGAATGACTGAATTTCCCTTAATGCAGATATGCACCTGCATTATGAGGAAAACCGTGGGCCCTGGGCCCATCTTGCTTTAGAACAATGGTCAGAGTTATTAGTATCCTCACACCTGTTAAGAAGGGAAACTGATTACTATGGCCAAGGAGTTCGGACCCCTTTTTAACATTTTATTTTCCCAGAGGATCTTCTATAACACACTCCTGCTCAGAATTCCCGTCCTGGAAGGGATGTGGCTACGTTTTCACTGTAAATGAACAAGGTCTGCTGCAGGAGCCCTTCCTCCAGCTTCCAACAACCTTGCCAGCTCCCTTTCCACCACCCACAACCTCCAGGGTCTGCCTAGAGGTGCCACCCATTCTTTTTTTTTTTTTTTTTTAATCCTCACCCGAGGACATTTTTCCATTCTTCCTTCAGGTAGAGTGGGGGGCAGAGAGAGGAACAGAGAGAGAGAGAGAGAGAAACATCGACGTGAAGGGACACATCGAGTGGCTGCCACCCGCACAACCGACCAGGGCCGGGGACAAACTGCAACCGAGGTACGTGCCCTTAGCGGGAACTGAACCCGGATCTCTCAGGACCGCAGGCCGACGCTCTAACCGCCGAGCCAAACCGGCCAGGGCGAGGTGCCACCCATTCTAACTGCCCTCCTAGGCAGTCCCCGAAGACTCTGGCCAGCCCTCCAGTGCCTGTCTTGTGGTTGGGGCTCAGGTTCCCAACCTCCTCCTGGCCCATCCATGAGCTCAGTCACATTATTAGACCCCTCACTTACCCACCCACATCCACCAAACCTGCTTTTCCTCCTGAATTCCCCACCTTGGGTAATATTCCACCAGCCACCCTGGTCTCCCCACCTGGAACCTCAAGGTCAGCTTCAGTCACCTGTCTCGTTGTCTCTACCTGTTTCTTGAACACTGATAGGTTAAGTGTTCAAGAACACGTAAATGTTCCCTGGGTGGAGGGATTTGTCTTCTTTTCTCTATTTTTATTTACCTTTTAAATTATTTCTGATGAACACTTATGATTTGCATAATGTTTAGTATGTTTTATCATAATTACTAGGTTTCATAAAGGTTTATTATCCCAAATACTATTCTGTCTTGAGTCTCCTCTTCATCCCCGGGCCCTCTTAACCAGTTCCTGACTTACTGTCCCCCTCCCCCTCCTTGGAACACCTTCCACATCCCAACCAGACCTCTCTTTCTAAAACCCAAACCTCATTCCTTTGCTCCCCTCATCACATCTTTTCTCTGGGATCCACCCCCAAAATACATCTGAATCACCTGGGGTGTTTGTTTGCTTGTTTATTCTGCTCCCCGTTATAGGGTCAGTCCTGTTCATACTGCACCCCGGTGCCTGGCACACAGCAGGTGTTCCATAAATATTCATTAAATGGATGGAGGGAATATTCACGAACTGGCTCATGGTAGGGAAGATCTATAGCAATGGTTGGTCTATAGCAAAGTGTGCTCAGGGGACCAGCAGCTGCAGCATCTGGGAACTTGTTAGAAATACTGATCCTTAGACCTCACTTCACACCTACTGAATCAGAAACTGGCTGTGTATGAGTAAGCCCTTTGGGTGATTCTGCTCTATAACAAATTCACGCTTCCAGACATGTCTTCACCACCATCACAGATAAAACTAGTTTCCCCAACTGACTATGCAAACTTGAGCAGCCTGCTGGGGAAATCACTGGGAAACATGTAACCAGCTGCTCTGCTGCAAAAATGTTGCCTCCGGGTTGCAGAAATGCAACAGCCTCTGGGGTTTAGAAAGGGGTGGGTGGTGGTGGTAACCAGAGGAATCTCCTCGACAAGCTCCACACCCCTGCCCGCACCGGGACCCCCAACGCCAGCACCCCTGGGTCCCCCACAGCTGAGTACAGATTCCGATTTTGAAAGAAGCACTGCAAATCCCTCTCCATGAGGGAAAGGATGGAGGAGTTGAGGGCCCCGGGACGGACCGTGGGATGGGTAGCGACCCACAGGTCCCAGGCTGGGGTGGGGGGTGGCGGGGGCCCGCGGAGAAGCCGGGGCGGGAGCCGCTCTCCCTCGCTCCTGTTTGCGGCCGGTGAAACGGGGTGGCAGAGCCCTTGCAGGGACGCTGAACTAGGGCGCCAGCTAGCAGACTTCGGAGCAGAGATGAGTGTAGACACCCTCAGCGCGCTGGCTCGGGTCGCCGCTTCGGAGCCAGGGGCGGCGCGTCCCTGGGGCCTCCCGGATCCGCTCCGGGCGGGTGAGAGAGGGAGGGTGAGGTCTTACCTCAAAGCTGGGCAACCCGAGTTCTGGCGGGGCTGGGCTGGCTGTGAGCGCCCAGGTGCTCGGGAAGGTGGGAGGGGTGGATGCGGCTGGCCGCGGGCTCAAGGAGAGGGGGCTCTGCGGGACCCTCACTGGCGCCACTTGGCGACGAGAAGCCACAGCGCCGCGGGAGCGCGGGCCGGAGGTAACTCGGTCCGGAAGATAAGCCAGCCCTTCCCCAAAGTCTGAGCAAAGCCCGAAGGTGTCCCCCTCTTTCTCCAGCTGTGTGTAGAGGCCCCTCTCACTGCCCCGGGGACGCTTGGCCTTCGCGCTTTTCCTGGGCTGGGAAGCAAGTGCAGACTCCTCCTGCCTCCCCAGGAGACCACGCACTGGTCCAAAGCCCAGCAGCAGCCTGGGGTGCTCAGAGGGGCCGACACCCCCTTACTCTTAGAATTACACTTTGCTCACACGCAGCCCCGTCCAGTGTCCCCCAGTTTCTGGCCCCTTGTGTCCCCAAAGAGGACTAAACGCGGGCAGTTTCTCATCCCAGAGGAGACCCCGAGTCCTAGGCTCCCACCCTGGAGAGCTCCCTGCTGGGCCCGCAGGGAAAGGGCGCTGGACTGAGTTGGGGAAGGAAACTTCCCAGACAGAGAGGGGGCTGGGCACCCGACACCCGCAGGGAGGGGTTAATCCGATTTGCTGGGCCAGCGCCCCCTCTCTTCCAGGAGCCCTTTAATCGGTTGTCCCCCCAGCAGCCGCCATCTGAGCACGTGTTGCTGCGGGTCTGCGTCAGCGCTCGGCACACAGATGACTGGCTGGCGGGGCCGGGCGGGGCTATTTAAGGGGCTGCCTCGGGCTCCCCGCTCCGAACTTGGCTCTGCTCCCCGCTGCTTCGGTAGAGAACTGCGAAGCCAGCGACACCCTACTCTGAAGGTAGGTTCCCGCTCTCCGCTCTCCCGCGGGGAGTCCAAGTGCCAAGCGTCTCTGAAGAACGTGGTCTTCAGTTTTATGCCCCTTCCACTGTGTTTTTCTGTTTTGTGTCTTCTCTCGGACAACTCTGGAAGACCTCTCCGACGGTCAGAAATACCGGTGAGGGCTGGGGCGGGGGGCGCCGAGCGCCTTTGTTCTCGTGCAGGCAATGGGGGTGCGCATTTGCTGGGATGCGCGCACGGGTTTACTGCCCAGCTGGGACTCAGGAGCAGCACTTGACAGAGGCTTTAAGGTTTAAGTTCATCTTTCTGAACACTGCAGCACAGTGCTCTGGGGATATGTGGTTTCTTTGCTCGCGGATCTAAAATGCAGTGGAACTTGGCCAACCATGGAGAACCGAGCCCATATTCCTGAATTTTCCCCCCAAACCCTGCTTGTGCCAATTCCTGCTTACATCTTGAAGAAACTTTAGAAACATGGCTTTTATTTATTGCTCCCACATTTAAAATTGTGCTTCTCTTTTCTTCTCACCACTTACTCCCCCATTGAAAGCTCCTTAGCTGCCTGAGAAGGTGTTACCGCTCTGCAGGGTCTCATTTCTCCAGCTCCTTATCCCCTTTGGGAGATGTCCACACGGCCTTCACCTCTTGCTTTGGCAGTTGGGAGATGAAAGACGGTCTACAAACACTTCCTCAAACTAAAGGGAAACAGAAGACATTCCTTCTGCTCAACAGGGCAGAAGTCAGGGTCTCTGTCCGCCCCCAGGCACCCGGTGTCATTCACCCAAAAGACAAGCGGGATGTGCCCCGACGCGTGTCCTATGGGCCACTGGGCTCCAGCCCGCGCTTGGCGAACCCTGGTGCTTGCACCAGCCTGGCGGGTCTGGAGCGTCGCGGGTTTGCATCGAGTTCCCTTCTACTTATGCCGGGTGCCCCGACCCTCCGGGAGGGCCTATAGCTGCTTCACCTTTTCGTTCACAGTCGCTCCCTTTGCTCTCCGCAGCCATGAACAGCGGTGTGTGCCTGTGCGTGTTGGTGGCGGCACTGGCGGCGGGCGCCCTGGCGCAGCCGGTGCCTCCCGCAGACCCCGAAGGCCCTGCGGCGCAGCGGAACGAGGAAGCGCCCCGGAGACAGCTGAGGGCAGTGCAGAGGGTGGAAGGCGAGCCCCGAGCGCACCTGGGCGCGCTGCTGGCCAGATACATCCAGCAGGCCCGGAAAGGTACCCAGGCGTCCCCAGTCCTACCCACTTTATCCCTACCGGGGGCTCCCAATCCTGACCCTCTTATCTAGCTTCTTGCTGATGGAGGTGGGTATACTCTCAGGAGGAACACAGGCGGCACTAAGCTGAAAGGTTTTCACTTTTTCTTTCTTTCTTGAGTTACACTGTGCAGGGCAGTGCAGTTTCCGGACCTCATTTGTAGCAAACTGAGAATGAGGATGGAGGGAAACCTTTTTAAGAAGTATTCTTTAAACTAATTTTTGGCATGGTGTTGCTATTAAAGTGCAGCACCACATTATGGAGACATTAAAAGATAATTCCTGAACAAATTACTGACTCATAAAGGATTCACAGATCCACTAAATAGCCTCTTCTGTAAATGCAAAGGAACCAGGAGCCACCCAGATATTGGCATTTGGAAACCCTCTGGCAGAAAGTGATCAATGCTGAGAATGCTTGAATACTGACTACCACAGTTTAAAAAGAAGTTGACAATGTGTCAGTTTTCACTAAAGTCTGTAACAGGAGATAAGAATCTGTAGCAGTTTTGAGTTCTTGGCAGTGATTTAACATAATTACTCAACAAGAGACGTGTTTGTGATTTTGCTCTTGGAGAGATGTTCCCAACTGCAGCCCGATCAAAGTCTTCCTCCATGAATAGGTGATCCAGCAGCTCACTAGCCGAGTGGCTTACAGACAGCCCTGTCCCTTTCATGGGCCTGACAGTCTCATCTGAAAAGAGGGGAGAAGGCTAGAGTTCTACTCCTGGTGTGTTTCATGGGGAGACTCATCCATTTTTAGGCTCCCAAGGAATTGTGACTGGCACTGGGGCAGGTTTTCTTTTTATCAACTTTATCCACACTGACACCGACGGTGAACACACCACTCTGTAGGGCGGTGCGCTAAATTGAACCAACACAGCTGGACAGTAAAACCACGGCAAACATTGTGGGCAGGGGTGGAGGTGGGCTCCTTCCCATGAGGCTCATTTAACCTACTGGCGTGCCCTGGATTTGAACTGTGGCCCCTGGCTCCGGGGAGAAAACTAGAGAAGAGTCTCCTGTAGTTTTCTGCGAAGGTGAGACCGGGACCTTTTTGAGCAGGTAGTTTTAGGAGGAACAGAAGATGATTTGTTAAATTTCTTCCTCTCTTTGGGATATTGTCCCAACTACCATCTTCTGTTTTACTTCCCTGCTAATTAAATTGAAAGAGGTGGAAATACCAATCAGAAGACAAAGAAAGTTAGAAAATGTTTGAGGTTCCTAGTGATCGTCTGAATGTTATTTAAATATCTGGCCTTAGATGTGGGAACTTCAGCCAGGCCAGTCGGAAATATCCTTGGCTTTTCATCGAGCCATAATCTGGAATCTCCTCCCCTCTTTCAGGAAGGGTACACAAGAAAGAATTCTTGGGAAGGAAGTTGGTCATCAAACCATTCCCGAGAACTGACCCTTGGACTTTATCTCACACATCTTAGCTGGAATCATACTCTTCTACTTGACAAATATGAACCAAGAATGAATATTTGCCCACATAAATACTATCCAGTTTCTTTGACTATTTGACATATTTTGAGAGCATATCAGATATTTTACTCAGCGGTAGTGTATGTTATGCTTCAGGGTTCTGAAGGAGATAAAGCACTCTTCGGGCAATGCTCCCGAGTTTGGCATTAGAAAAGGTCTGCAGAGCTATCGGTGATCCGAGGAGAAGCAGTCCCCTTGGGGAGATGGGGGTGTAGTGTACACCCGCCCCATGCCCAGCGAAGCCCTGGTACCACATCTGCCTGTCTGTCTTCGTCCTCACAGCAGCCCTGCACAATAAGTCCTAGTATTTTCATTTTGTCAGTGTGGAAGCTTCTAGAAGAGTGTGTAACCTATGCGAGTTTGCACATCTAGAGCAGAGTCTGTCCAAGGGCTGCCCTCTCCATAGGGTCTGGATGTCTCTCAGCTTCCCAGCTGTACCGCCCATTATTCTGGGTGTGAAAGTTTAAAGGAGCCAGGCTCAATTCTGTGAATCAGTTGCAAGTCTCTACTCAAGTGTGGGGAAGTGAATGAAAGCCTTGGCAAGTGTGCACAACGTGAGCAAGAACTGTGTGCAGAATGGGGGAATCAAATGTGCAATAAGTGCAGCTTCATGGCTGAACACAGGGCCCCCACCAACAACCAATTATCTAGGAGTAACTGCTTCTGCAGGGTCATTTATCAATAAGTAAGCCATAGTGTGACTCGGTGCAGCCTGTGGGCAGGAGTTGGCAAGGGCAGTCTCATGCCAGCATCACAAACAGTGGGGACAGAGTGGCCCCCAATACGATGGGAACCACTGGAAAGGTCCTTCATCCCTCTACTCTTGAAGCCACCTTGGCTTAGCCCATAGAGGTCCCTGAGGGACTTTTCTTACTCCTTGGTTTGCATGAGAAAAGGCTTTATACTGTGTTCCTACCCAGGAGGCTGCTGTCTGTGATCTCTGGGCTAGGACTGTGTCACATGCATCGGATAAAGCACGCTTTTGTGTCCCTGCTCACTCAATGTGAATTATACACTGAGATACAGGGGAGCCACCCTGTCCCTAAGGACTGAACTGCCATCCCAAAGGGCTGCTTCAGGGTCAGTTATTGCATTTTGGTCAAAATGGCTGAATTCAATGACCTCTTTATTACCTCTCTGCCCACCTCCTTCGGGTGTTACTGATGTGCTGAGTTTTGAATCTGACAGTGTGCCTTTTTTCCCCCTCACCCCAGGATATTTTTCTATTTATCTTCGGATAGAGTGGGAGGGAGGGAGAGAGAGGGAGAAACATCAATGTGAGACCAGGGACCAACCCAACCAAGGTTATGCCCTTGACCGGAAAGGAACCCCAGGCTCAGTGGTCCGCGGGCCCACGCTCTGACCGCTGAGCAGAACGGCCAGGGCTGACAGTGTGCCCCTTTATTAACATGACTTTTTAAAAAGAAGGTGACTTTCAAATTAATAATTTTTAAACAGTATTTATCTAGCAATAAGACTTGACGCCCCCCTCCCTTTTTTTAAACCATCCCAACCGCACAGTATTTTCCTGTCCTTACTTGCACAGGAGTCAGGTGTGCTCAGGGATAGCGAGGGGAGGCCTTGGTTGGCGGCTGTGTCTGCGGAGGACCAGCTGCTAAGGGGAAACCCCCTGGGGGAGGAAGGAAAACCTAGGCAGGTCCCAGCTGTGAAGGCCGGGAGTCAGGGATCCACCTAATCCTGGGGGGCCCAGAACCACGCCCACGGCTGGTAAATACGGGCCTCCAGCCCGTTACACAGACCCGGGTCCCTCTCCTCTGAGCCGGCCCAGCAGCCTCTCTGCAGGGCTCTCTGAGGCCTTCGGGAGGCGCACCGTCCCTACTGCCTGTCGCACTGTCCTCCACGAGTTAACCCGCTGTGTTCTCGGTGTAACGGCCGTCTCCTCCCTGCCTGCCCCTTGCAGCTCCTTCGGGCCGCATGTCCATGATCAAGAACCTGCAGAGCCGGGACCCCAGCCACAGGATAAGCGACCGGGACTACATGGGCTGGATGGACTTTGGCCGGCGCAGCGCCGAGGAGTACGAGTACCCCTCCTAGGCCCTGGTCGGGCCGCGCCGAGCGCCCCCTGCCGCCCAGGAGGCGGATAACACAACAATCACACTCAACTCATTGTCTCCGAGGTCTGACATTTTAAGCGTCTATTTATTAAGTTCTCAATGTGAAAAACCTGTCAGGTTGCCTGGCGCAGCCACGCACCTCAGCGGGATTGTACAAATGGAAGACGAGTGTCTCTCTCATCCGTGACTCCTGGTCCTAACGTGTTGCTATGCTATTAAAGTGATTTCATTCTGCGCCCTGTCCCCTGTGTCTCCCGAGGGCGGAGGGCGGAGGGCGGAGGGCGGAGGGCGGAGGGCGGAGGGCGGAGGGCTCCGTGCAGTGCCCAGGGGGAGCCCCGCTGTAGATGGTCCCAAACGGGGGTGAGAAATGAGGGCGGGGTGGGAGCTGACGTCCCCGCTGCACAGCCCAGGCCTGGCCACCCCGTTCCTGGGCCCCAGCTGGGCACCACTGCAGGAAGACAACCTGCCCTGCTTGGAGTGAGCCCATTTGCCAGGGTAAAGCCCAGAGTGGCAGCTTGACACGGAGCCGCATTAGCATTGTGGGGGTTAGTGTGGCTTTGAGGGGACCCGATGGAGCTTGCCGGGCAGGGGTGCAAGTGAACCTAAGACCCGTTTCCCCTGACCCTCACGCAACACCCACGCTGAACTCAGGGTGAGCCCTTTCTAATGGCCGTGCCCTGCTGCGGTCCGTGCCACCTGCTGACAAGGGACCGGGAACCTGGCCACGGAATGGTCTACCTCGTCCTTTCTGAGCGAGCCTCTCAGCAGCTCCCCAGCTCTGCTTTCAGGGGGCCTGGGGACAGCCCTGATTCCCTGGCCTCGGTTCTCCTCCTCCTGTCTCCCCCCCGCCCGGTGCTCCTCTCCACGCCCTCGGGTCGCGGGCTTCCACCCCAGGCCACGCCCCCTCCAGCGTTCCCGTCTGCACCCTGGGCTCTGCCCCTCCAGGGCTGCTCTGCAGGCTCCTGTGTTAATGTACAAACTGAAGAAAAAACCTACCGCCATCATTCTAGCCCGGCCCACCCTTCCTCTACCCCCACTCTCGGTTTCTGGATACGAAACTGGCCTAAGGCCACTCAATGAATTGGCAAGGAACCCGCAGCCCTCGGGAATTAGCTCCCTGCCAGGCTCAGACTGAAACAAGTTGCCTGGCGGTCCCTGCACTTGCCGGTACCTCTGAACCCCTGGCCTAAGAGGCCGGCCTGCCTGACCCGTGACCACGCAAGTCTCAACGTGGCAAGCAGCCCCAGGGTGGACAGAATGCACTTTCCCAAAATTTGCTTTACCCAAACCTCACTGTAATACACCTCTCCTCTAAAGTGAGGGGATCTTTACACCATGCACCCCAACCTCGGCACCCAGCGGCATCTTTGTTCCCTGGTTCAGCCAGGCACAGGTAAAAGGAAGCCGAGGTTGGGAGAAATTCTATGTTTATTCTTTTAACAAACAAAAATGCGGAACACCATTTTTTTTTCTTTTCTTATCTCAGGTTTAAAGAGAGAAAGGAAAGCATCTTGACCACTTAGCTAGATTTCCAGCTTGAGATGGAGCCACATTAGCATATTGTTGTTGTTTTTTCCCAGCATCTTCCAATTATTGCTAGTCCTGAAGATAGTTAAATCAGAAGTCAAGCCAGCCCTGGCCGGTTTGGCTCAGCGGTTAGAGCATCAGCCTGCGGTCCGGAGAGACCTGGGTTCGGTTCCCGCTAAGGGCATGTACCTCGGTTGCAGTTTGTCCCCGGCCCTGGTTGGTCGTGCGGGTGGCGGCCACTCGACGTGCCTCTTTCACGTTGATGTTTCTCTCTCTCTCTCTCTTCCTCTCTCTCCCTCCCACTCTATCTGTGCAAAAAATGGAAAAATGTCCTCGGGTGAGGATAAAAAAAAAAAAAAAATCAGGAGTCAAGCCAAAGGAGAAAAAAAATATTGCCTTGCTAATTTCCCCGGGCTGAAAGAATTTATTAAATTGATCTGTAATTGATCTGTTGGTATCTGCCTCCTGCTCTGAGTTGTGATTCTCTCAGAGAATCAGGATCAGAGACTCCCAAATGAGTGAGTCCCAGCCCTGGTTTCCCCACCATACCCAAGGTTCTCCCTGGACAGACCTCCTGCCCACGGCCTCATCATCACTCCCACTTCTGGGCCTTTACTCTCACCACCACCCCTCACTTCCTCATGACACTCCAGCCTCATTGCCTTTTTTTGCCATTCCTTGAAAACACTAAACTCCTACCTCAGGGCCTTTGCACCCACTATCCCCTCTGCCTGGCTCTCTCTTCCTCTAAAAAGCATGACTGGACCACTCAGCTCATTCAGCTCTAACATTACCTGCTCAGGGACTGTCCTGATCAATCTCTCTAAAACAGTTTCTCCATTGCTCTCTGTCCTTTTCTGTGCTTTACTTTTTTCCTCATGCTTATATAACATCACTTGGAATTATATTATCTATCTATCGGTTTATTGATTCTGTCTCACCCACTAGGATGTCTGCTCCTTTGGGAAGAGCTTTTTGTCTGTTTTGTTTATTGCTACATTTCCAGTTTGTGGCACATAGTAGGTGCTCAAAAAATATTTGTTTAATTAATTAATCAATTAGTAAGGAAAAAATATTTCTGGATTCCCTGCTCCTAGGTTACAGATTGGTTTAGAAGCAGTTTAATCAGACCATTTGTTGTAAAAATCAGAGAGGTAAAACAGGTTCAGCGACCTTTCCGTGTCCTTCAAAGATAGACATAAGGATGAGAAATTGGAAAACAGGCCACGCACACATACACACACACACGCACATGCACACACACACACAAATGGCAGGTAAAATGCATACCATCCATGAGAGTGACAGTATACTTTAAAATACACCTCACCCCAAACACACACACACACATCCAGTCCCCCCGCCTTTTTTTTTCCTGGAGTTAAAATCCAGAAGTAGAGAGATTTCAAAGAAAGAAAAATAAGCCCTGGCCGGTTTGGCTCAGCGGTTAGAGCATCGGCCTGCGGTCCTGAGAGACCCGGGTTCGGTTCCCGCTAAGGGCATATACCTTGGTTGCAGTTTGTTCCCGGCCCTGGTTGGTCGTGCGGGTGGCAGCCACTCGATGTGTCCCTTTCACATCGATGTTTCTCTCTCTCTCTTTCTCTCTCTCTCCCTCTCTCTCTTTCTTTCTTTCAACAGTTCAGTTTTCAAAGAAGTTACACTGTTCTTTGGTTCCATTTCATTCAATGTCATTTTGTTATAAAATTGATGAGAAAAAAAAAATCAATTTCCTGCAGGGGCCACTGACTATGTAGAGTTTGCACATTCTCCCCATGTCTGTGTGGGTTTCTCTGGGTACTTGGGTTTCCCCCCACATCCCAAAGATGTACAATTGGCTGAATTAGCGTGTCTAACTTGTCCCAGTCTGAGTGTGTGAGTGTGTGTATGAGAGTGTGTGTGTGAGTGTGTGTGTGTGAGTGAGTGTAAGTGTGTGTGTGTGAGTGTGAGTGCATCCTATGATGGAAGGGTGTCCTACCCAGATTAGTTCCCTCCTTGGGCCCTGAGCTGCCTAAGAGGCTCTGGTCACCCAAGACCCTGAATTGGAATAAGCAGGTTGGAAATGAATCATCTTACTTATTTTCACTAATCTTTCTTTAAACAATTTTTTAAAATTCATTTTTAAAGAAAGAGGATAGGAGATGGAGGGAGGAAGAGAAACATCAATGTGAGAGCAAATCAGTAATTGGCTGCCTCCTACACACACTCTTCTGGGCATTGAGCCCACAACCCAGCCGTGTGCCCTGTCCAGGAATTGAACCGGCAACTCTTGGTGTGCAGACAATGCCCTACCAACTGAGGCACACCAGCAGGGCTAATCTTTCTTAAATGTATGTAGAGTTCACATTTATTTCAATGCTTAATATTAGAAGTGTGTTGGGTTTTTATTTAGAAGTTTGGTGATATTTTTGAGATCAGGAATCTGCCGTAGGAACTAATTCTTGTGTATGGCAATAGCCTATGGTCAAATTGGTTTCACTGTGCATCGTTTTGCTTGAAGTTGCAGTTTCCAAGAACCTGTTGACAATGTTAAGTGAGGACTTACTGCACCCAGACTATGACAGGCAATACTGGGAGGCTGGGAGACAGCAGAGCAGCAGAACTGGCTGAATTAAGGGGGAGGCCAGCCAGGCAGCTGCCCAGGGAGTCAGCATCTAAGTGACATCTAATCACCACTGTCGCAAATTGGAACTCAGGGACCAGTGAAGTTCTTAGGAACTTACCTAACTGGAGAAATAGAAGTTGCTTCCACCTACAGAGGACGACAGTGCCCCCAAGTGGACAGCTTTTAGAAAACTGCTCCTCTGGGTACCAGCTGTGCCCACATGGAGACCCATAAGATTCAGACTCATTTCCCCTGGCGAACCTGCTGGTTATCCAACCCAGTGAGCTGAAACGTCCAAACCAGAAAATCAATGACATGGGACTGTTGTCTAAGAATGGGTGGTTTCTATTATTTTAATTTTGAAATTTTCATATGGCTGCCAAAAGGCCCCAGGGCTTGGAAGATCACCAATAAAACCGAAGAGAGAACAAGACGACCGACAAGCGAAGTGCTTTTAGTTGGAATAAAACTGGAAAACAGAACACGTAGATATATTTGAAGACGCCTTGGTAACTATGGTTACCTCTAATTAGTGAGCACCAGATGCTTCCCAGATTTGAGTGGAGGAAAATTAAAAGGGAAAACAATTCCAAATAAGTAAAAATGTTCATTTCTGTTAAGTGCGTGTAATCTTGTGTTTTGAACCTGAAGAAGGAGATAGAGCAAATCAGTTTCTCCCCACCTTTACCTTCTGTGCCTCTGCTTGCATAACGAGGACCCATGAGCCAAAATTGGGAGTTAAGGAGATTTCTTGAAAGAAGGTGGCATCGGACAGAGGCTCACCGCAGAATCAGACTGATGCCAGAGTCCCAGCTCTGGCTGAACTAGGGTGAACTGTAATATTGATACCCAGTAGTCATTCAAAGTGAGCATAACGTGTTTAATATGGAAAACTT